TAAAAATATATAAAATATATAAAAAATACTTTACTTAAAAAAATTTTGTTTTGAATTAGCAAAAAAAAACTATTTTACAGATTAACAGTTAATGTAAAAAAACAAAACAAACAAAAAAAACATTAAACAAATAAAATAAAATTCCCAGTTTTGTTAAATTACACAAAACAATAATAAAATCACAGAAAAACTTTCTTTACAATATTTAGTTCTACAATTATTATTTTATTTTATTGCATTTTAATCAGCAAAACATCTAATAAAAATATAAAGTAAATATTTTTCTGCAGCTCTTTGTTGTCAGATTTTATGACGGATATTAAATCAGCTGCAAACATCATTATTTAACCAATATTTCAATTGATTTTTTTTCCCTTTTTTGCAGAAAAAAACAAAAATTTATATGTTGACTATAATTATTTAAAACCTTTATTGTCACTAATCGTCTTTAACAATAAGTGACCTTGAACTCCTCCTACATGATCCTCATCTTATAGATACTTATCATCATATTCACTGTTTCTGTAGTTTTTATTTTATTATAACAGTCTTCTACCATTTTTTTAACCAATGTTTGTGGCACCTTGTTGCTGTATTTTCTAATTTTTTTTAGTGAATTCAGTCTTTCCAGTGTGAGTTTCTGCATCTCTGTTGACCATCATCTTGTTAAATATCAGTCTTCTGTTAGATGTAAAGCAGCCGGATGGATAAATGAGCTCCGTTATGAGGAAACGAGGCCGTCCTCGTTGGGGAAGGAGCAGAAAAAACAATAAAAAGCAGTGTGAGCTTTGTAGCGCCTGGAAGGAGGAGAAGCTGGAGAAAAAACGAGGCGTTGGAGTTGGAAGGGAACAGAATCAATCATAATCGCAGTGCGGATTACTGCTGCATACTGAGCAGAGTTCAGCAGAACCGGCTCTGCAGCGAGGTGACAAACTGCAGCCCGTCCAGCGCCGCCCTCATCCGTTCTCCTGGACGGGCCGCCGGTGGCGCCGGCGCTCAACAGGGCAGAGCGAGGAGGGAGGACGCCGCCGAGCGAGAGAGCATCTCTGTGGAGCGTTTAAGCGACGACCCGCAGGCTAAGCAGGTTAATGAGCAGGAGGACGATGTGGCGGCGGCGGCGGAGGCTCGCTTACCATAATTATCAAGGTTGCCGGTCCTATGAAACTCCAAATGAAGTAGGTGTCCAAGCGAAGCCAGCAGCTGCAGAGACACAGAAAGAGAGTCTGAGGTTAGAGGAGGTGCAGCAGGAGGAGGAGGAGGAGGAGGAGGAGGAGGAAGAGGCATGGAGCTGCTCCTCAGAGCTAAAGGAGGTTAAACAGAACCAGGTTTAATTCACCATCACAGGTTATAATTAATGGATTTAAACTGAGGTTTCTAACTGTTATGATTGGAAAAATTTGCTGCTACGTTCCAGATGTTTCCTGTTTTGTTGAATTACAGACAATAAGAAATAAAACACAGACAAAAACTAATAATTTACCTGTTAAACTTTTTAAAAAAACATGCAAAAACTGCAAATAA